AGGGAAGGCCATCTTTTTCAGAGAGGAGCTGGAAGAGAGAGCGAGAGGGCAAAAGAGAGGATAGCTTTGAAGACTTCCGGAGAGAACAGGCCGGATGGAAGGGGAGCCGAAACCGAGAGAAAATCGAGATAGAGAGTGAGCTTGAGAGAGATCCAGAGAAAGGGAGGAGGGGGTCTCCGAAAAGGAAGAACCTTGCAAACCCCTCATCCTTCATCTCGCCCCACCACCGTCGCCGTTCGACGTCCTCTAGCCGGCAGCACCCTTCTCGCGGCTTCTCACTCCTGGATCCCGACATTCCCGAGGACGAGGACCTGAACGTGAGAGAGGAGCCCCGAAGGAGAGCAAGAGAGACCGAGAAGGAGAACAAGGAAGAGAGAGCAACAGCGAGAGGGGTCGGGGAGAGAGAGAGAGAGAGAGAGAGAGAGAGAGAGAGAGAGAGAGAGAGAGACGTGGGAGGAAGGGAAAAAGTTTCCCGGTAGCCGGCCACGTCAGAACTCCATTCGAAGACCTCCAGGTAACGCCCTCGAGCCCGCGATTTCTTCCACCACGGCGCCAATCTTCCGATGGGTTTTTGGGTTCGATCCATTTCCCCGAGGATCCCGGCTCGGAAATGTTGCGAGGCGACCGGACTAAGTCAGATATATCTCAAGTTCGCCCTCTATTCGCCGTTGCCGAGCCGGGTAGGGCCACTTCCGACAACTGAACTCGTGCTCTTCTTTGCCCCGATTGTTGCTCAGCCTTGCCCTGTCTCGATTCAACCGAGACCGGGATGTGTCGTTCTTTGTTTATGCTCGTGGTGGATGCGAAAGAACCGTTTTCTGAGTTGATGTCGAGCATGGCTTGTTCACTGTATTTTGAGTTTGGGGTCATTTCGTGTGCCGTTTGAGTGGAAGGTTTTCTTTCCAGCACTGCACACCATGGGCTTGCTGAAATGCATCAACTAGATCGGTAAACTTTTTTTTTCTTGAGTCCGGTTTGCTGGGCTGTCGGGATGCATGTTGGTTTGTCATGCTTGAAGATGGTGTTGGGTTATCTGATTTCCTGAACCGTACCGTTTACGGCAGATACTTTCATTGTTCCATATTTGTTCTTCTTTATTCTTCCGTCGTTTGCGTGTTCTCTGATGATATAGCTGCGTATGTTGACGTTTTTGGCTGGTCATTGCGACGGACGATGGTAAGATTTGCTAACTCTGATGGTTGGTTCGGTAGCGAGAAATAGTGTCATTCTTGCCGAGCATGGGATGTTGTTATTGTTCTTGAAGTTATGGCGATTCAGAACAAATGTGCAGCGTTAAAAATTTTCTGGGCAGTGAGAACGCGAAGAAAGTGTTGGAGGAGTTCATTGGAAAATCGGCGGAGGAGGGGTGAAAGTAATTAACTTAATAGGCTTAGCTAATTATGGTGGACTTTAGGGCTCATTTGAGTTTGGTGAACTTTGGGCTTAAATGAAGTTTTGTAGATATGGGATGGATTTAACTTAATTAAGTGATCTTGGACTTAAGTTTTAGTATTTTTGGGCTTGGTTTAGCTAGTCGACCGTGATCTCGGTTAAGTGGGCTAAAATCTGGTTTTGTAGTGGCCGAAATGGACTCATTTTTCAGTAAGCCCTTTCCTTTCTTCAGGCTTTTTGCGTCCGAGGACCCGGATCAGCAAGGCCTGGGTTCGGTCCTGGTCCAAGTCCGGACAGGATCCGCATACCCGACCCGAATCCTTAGTATTATAATATTTTAATATTATTTTAATATTAAAAAATTTCAAAATTTTCAAAAATCGAAAAAATAGTAATTGGGCTTTGGAATTGCCTTTCTTGCCCTTTTTGTGTGATTAGTGTCATGTTTGATTGCATGTTGTTAGATTCACACGTTTTGAATTGCGGGTTTAATTTAATATTGCATGTGGTTGATTAGGCATATTAGGTTCATATATTGGTTGTTAGTTTCCATTTTTAGCGTGACTAGGTGAAATCTTAAGCTTTTTTCGATAGGCTGCTCAGTGCGTTAGTTTGCGAACGTTCAAGTTTATGTACCGAAAGGGCATTAGTTAGATCGCTAGTATAATCAAGTCCCCGATCTTTAGAATGTCTGATTTTCGCGCGTATCGAGACGACACTCCCGCGTCTCGATTAGGGTTTCTAGCCAACCCTTGATCATGGCTAGTGACGACTCCAATCGAATGCATAGTTTAGACAATTCTCATCGTATGAGGTATGATACTTGGGAGTGCCTCGGTCCTTGGATTAATGAACTATTTGGTTTGTCTTTCAAACGAATCAATTAATATTCATATTCATCGACAAATACGTCTCGGCTTAACCGATCGGGACGGGGTAGGTCGCGACAAGTGCTTATTAGAAAGATGTCGCTCTTCATGGGTAGATATCTTAACAATTGATCTAGAGACTGCTTATTAGGGATCTCTACCAAATTATGTTGCATTCTTTCTTTTTTACTCCGTCGTCCTGACACGCACTTTCATCTAACTTATTGATGCGGTGCATCATCTGCACGTATTTTTAATGAGAGTAGACAGTAACTGTAGCGTTTTCCAAGAAGCAAATGGTGTATTATTTAGTTTTTTTTTGTGTATTATTTAGTTTAGTCAACCACGTTGTATATACTTTACGGACATCACCTAAACAATATTCCCTCTAACTTATTGTTGGTGTGCATCACGTGCACGTATTTTCAAAGAGGGTGGAGATGGAGAGGGATTGGTTCATGCGTCAGCAGTAGCAGCAGATGTTGCATTTCTCAAGACGCAAATGGTGCATCATCTCATTTAGTTAACCATTTTACATTCATTTATGTACATTGGTGAAGTAATATTGCTACATATACCGAAGAAACGGAAGAAGACGTGCTTTCGGTCACCGGCCAAAATAGACAACTAGATTTGTCAAACGAATGGGTCGGGTCAAAGATGATTCGATCCAAATTGACCCATTAACTTATTTATGACCCATTTATTCGTAATGTAAATTTATTTACCTATAACTAACCCGACCCATACCCAACCTATACCCGACCCAACCCGACTCATATTGTTAAAACACTTGCATATTTAACTCAATCTAAGAAAACTTGTTTCTTAAGGTTTTTAAATAAATTATACTGCTAAAATATTTTCATGCAATATAAATCTAGTAAAAAAAATTTATAATTATTTTTAAAAATTGAGGCTCCGTTTGTTTCGTGGAAAATATGAAATTTCTAGAAAATGTTTTCCATGAAGTCATTTTCCAAGAAAATTAATGATAGAATTTGACGGAAGCCAACGGAGAGTAAATTTATCACAAGTGTATCAGTTTGGAGTTTTTGGTGATAAAATATTAGTATTGGGTAAATTTATCACAGGTGTGCTAGTTTGGGGGGTTTTTGGTGATTAAAAAATTAGTTTGGGGTAAATTTGTTACAGGTATACCGGTTTGGGATTTTTGGTGGTCAAAATTAATTTGTTGTAAATTTGTTACAGTTGTACCGGTTTAAGATTTTTGGTGGTCAAAATTAATTTGAAGTAAATTTTTCACAAGTATACCAGTTTGGAGTTTTTCATTATATTAACCCTTTATATTAGTTATAGATCCAGTAAATTTAACTTCTAGGTTCCTTACATGTAGATGCAATATTTCGGATTTAAAAATTGACTTGCTGATAATTTAATTTTGCGGTTTCAATATGATAAAACTACTTATCATGTATAAAAGTTCGTGTAATTTTTTTATAATGGGTTATCAACAAACAACGAAATTGTATGAGCAACACAAGGACGCACTAACTTAGCTAGTATCTCTTTCTAAAGTACCATAGTTGAAGGTTATCACATAAATATTTAATTATAGACTAATTAAAAGTAATTATCTGAATGGATTTCCGCCTTGTGCACCTAAATGTTGATTAGTAATATGATATAGTATCCATTCTAAAGTGATAGGATTTTATGAATCGGTTTTATCCATTTCTAGGGAAAATTACCAAAAAAGCCATACACCTATCGTTAATTTAGTTATAAATCTTTCAATTATGTCACTTTTATCCTAAACCTTTCATGTTTGCCAATTGAGTCCATCTGGCCAAATTTTGGCCGCAAATCGCTTACATAGACGCCGGACGTCCTATATGGCATAACTGGCATTAACGTAGACATTTTTTAAAATTATTAATAAATTTTTTTAATATTTTCATTTTTGTTTCTTTTATTTTCTTTGTTTTTTTGACTGAGGGCTAGCAAGGGTTGTCAGTTGTCCCTTGACGGCACTGGACAAGGGAGTTGCAACCCTCACCGGCTTTGGGTGAGGGTGTGGTGGCCCTTGCTTGATGCCCTCACCAGCCACAATAAGGGAGTAGCAGCCCTTACCCTATATGGGCGAGGCCACGAAGCCCAAATCCGGCTATGGCCTGCAAGGGTCGCCAACCAACCCTTGCTGGCTCTCAGTTCAAAAAAAAGGTAAAGAAAATAAAATAAAAATTCAAGAAAATTATTAAAAAATTCAAAAAAATTATTAAGGAATTATAAAAAAAAATATTCACATCAGCACCGGTCAAGTCACGTAGAAGGGCTAGTGTCCACGTTGGCAATTTCTGATTAAAATTGACCGGATGGACTCAATTGGCAAAACTTAGCACAATTGAAATGTTTGCAATAGAATTGACACAAATTCAATAGATTTTGACTTTTTTGATAATTTTCCCTCCAATTCTAAACAATCCTAGTAACTGACCAACTTCTATAAACTTTGAAAAAGAAAGTCTACACTTCATAGTTAGATCAAATTATATAGCTGATCAACCAATGTATACGTAAAAGTACGAGTATTATACTAATACGGGGGTTCGAACCTCTCGTAATAATAAATAGTTATTTTTTTCAAAACTGAAGGCCCTCAACAGTTTTTAGTCCGAGTGATTGGAAGATAAATCATTTCGCTTGAAAAAGTTAGATCCTACACAACAACAAATTTGCTGACGTATTGTCATGCAGACCTTGAGATTTTCGGACGGTCGTTTTCGGAGGAGAGAGCAAAGAACCATTAGCAAGAAACCAAGTCGCATGATGACGGGTGTTGGTTCCCGTCGATGTCACCGAGGATCATTCAACTTCCTTTCGGAAGCGCTACAGATTCTCGTGCACCAAGCAGCTCCAAAGATTCCTAGAACCTGCTCGCGAAAAGCGATGAAACCCCATCACCGTTTCGTCTGGCTACTGGCGGCGGCGGCGGCGGCGACGCTGGCCTACGAGACCACGCGGGCTCTAGGATCCTCGTCGGATGCGGGTTCGGATTTGGAGCTGAGCTCTCTGGGGCGGGAGCTGCTGGCGGCGGCGAGGCAGCCGGAGTTCTTCGGTTGGTTGACGAGCGTCAGGAGGAGGATCCACGAGTGCCCGGAATTGGCTTTCCAAGAAGAAAGGACGAGTGGGCTCGTCCGGTCGGAGCTGGACGCGCTCGGGATCGAGTACAAGTGGCCGGTGGCTGAGACCGGGGTCGTTGCATCGATCGGGTCGGGCGCCCAACCCTGGTTCGGTCTCCGGGCCGACATGGACGCCCTCCCAATTCAGGTTCCTCTCTCTCTCTCTCTCTCTGGTTTCAAAGTCAAACACGGGAGAAGTGACGTCATCGTGAGGGCAAGCCGTTCTCGTTCTCAACAGGTTTTTTAGTTTGGAATTGGCTTGCTACAGTAGAACGATTCCGCCCTGTGGGTCTCGGGTGTCGTCGCATCCAAGACGGCAAAGCATGTTCTTTTAACGCTTGACGACAACCAAAAAGATACCCATCTGTAGCTTTAGAATGCTCTGATCCGATGGATCAGTAAGGGTTCTTCGTCGTGTATGGATCACAACCCTTGAGCAACAGAACTGAAAGAGAAGATGGGGACTGATGAGACCCATTTCTGAAGCCAAGTTTTGTTCCTGGCTTAGTGGGCTGTTGGGTTTGCAGACTCATATTCCTTGCATCAAACAAGGCTAAACGAGACGTAGTCAAATTTGATCATAAGCATTCTAATCTCAGCAAAGAGCACTCTGATTTCTCCTTGATTCCATCATGGTCCTGCAGATATATGGAGTGCTGACCCCTTAAATCTTCGTCTTGTTAAGTAACTGTATCCCAAAATGCGGCAATTTAAATGTCAATAACACCCTTTTCTTTCCCTTGATTGAGCTAAGGAATTGGTCGAGTGGGAACATAAGAGCAAGAACGATGGTAAAATGCATGCTTGTGGTCATGATGCTCATACAACCATGCTTCTAGGAGCAGCCAGATTACTCAGCAGCAAAACGGATTCTTTGAAGGTAAAATTATATTCCCGAGCAACATAGAAGAATTTAGTTACTCGATCCCTAATTCGATCTTTCATGTCTGGTCTCTTTTGGGTATTGTCTTCTGACAGGGCACGATCAAGCTCGTCTTCCAACCTGGAGAAGAAGGCAGTGCCGGTGCGTACCATATGCTACGAGAAGGAGCACTTGATCAGTTCCGTGCCATCTTTGGCTTACATGTCTCGCCACATTTGGAAACCGGCAGCATCGGTTCGAGACCTGGTCCAATGCTAGCGGGGGCTGGTAGATTCTTAGCCACAATACAAGGAAAAGGGGGGCATGCGGCGAGCCCACACGTGACTATCGATCCCATTCTTGCTGCCTCATCTGCAATTACCGCACTCCAGCATATCATTTCGCGCGAAACAGATCCTCTTGAAGCCCGGGTAAATTTAGCATTTTTAAACACATTAACAAAATGACCCCAACCATTCTCTGTTCTTACTTTCTGTAACTTCTATGTCCTTTTGATGTGTTGCTTGAATTCCCCCAATTAGAATTAGTATCTTTGATCTCATGCATAGGTGATCTCGGTGGGCTTCATTGAGGGTGGCCAAGCTTTGAACGTAATACCGGAGTTGGTCCGGTTTGGAGGAACTTTTAGGAGTATGACTTCAGATGGCTTGTATAGTTTGCAACACAGGATCAAAGAGGTGACTGTCGGTCTATACATTTGTTGCTATATTTACCATCAATTTCCAAGTCATCTGGTTTGTATGAGATTGCTCTTTTTTAGATGAGATAAGGGAAAAGGGTCTAAAGCCCATTGTATTGTATGATATTGAAGTTGTTCGACATAGACTGCAACATTCATCTATTGCTTGATTTCTTAATATGAGGATAAGGTTTAACTTCAGCCACCTTGCACTGCAGGTCATAGAGTTGCAAGCAGCTGTGCATCAGTGCAATGCAACGGTCGACTTCATGGAAGAAAAAATGAGGCCTTACCCTGCTACTGTGAATGATGAGACGATGTACATTCATGCAAAAGGCGTTGGTGAAGCCCTGCTGGGGGAATCCCACGTGCACCTTCTGCCCATGAGCATGGGAGCAGAGGATTTCAGCTTCTATTCGGAGAAGATGAAGACCGCATTTTTCATGATCGGCACAAAAAATGGAACCCTGGGATCGGATAAGGGATTGCACTCCCCATACTTTTTCCTCGACGAGGAAGTTCTGCCCATCGGAGCCGCTCTCCATGTGGCGGTCGCTATATCGTACTTGGACGGGCATGCAATTGAGATATGATCCGGTATCGTCTGGCAGTTCTTGTACAGTTCATTTTTCAAGAAAGAAGGACCCGTTTTTTTGGTTTCAGGAAGCTTGGGGCCATGTAATTATGGGGACTGTGTAGTTTTTGCTTTGATGAACCTTGATGTATATGGTATGAAAGTATTCTTCTGCGAAAAATTGTTAGGCAATAAAACGTCAGGAACAAGATCTTGTAATTGGGGATAGGCTAAACCTTCTGGGTGGCACAATGCTCTGGGAGAGAGGCATCAGAAGGTCTGGTGATGGCCATCTATTTGGCCCCCTGCTCAGTAAAATCTCAGCTTGATTAACGTTTGATTCAGACCTTCCTTTGCATGCCAATATCGATGGTTTCGACTGGAGATGGCCAAAGGCAAGACCAGAAGATTTAGCATGTATCCAGTGGCTGTGTTTTGCATGAGGTCATCCATCCGGTCGTTCATGTTTCTGAGATCAGTCGTTATGGTCACCGGTTAAATTCAAATGTTCGTAAGGGTGTTAGGAGAGGGAGAGAAAGGGGGTATTGTTAGAGAGAAGCTCCAAACGCTCACCACGGAACGCCGGAGCATCAATTGGTTGTCCAGCTCGCTAACTCGCACTATCTATCATAACCACAACGCGTCAGTTCAATCGATTGCTTCTCTTGCATCAAGTTTTAGCTTGTCCTGGATTGATTCGTGCATTAATTCTTGGCTGTTTTGCCTCATTCACTTGCTTTCACTGGGTCCTAATTTCTTTCATCGTCCATTGCTTGTGTTGCTTGCATGAAGTACTCATTTATTTCCCGTTCTCAAAGGTTTAAGGTTCTCATCTTGCATCATAGATGAGGAAGCGCACGAGCTTAACCTAGTTAAGCAATAAAGGGTTGAGATAACCCTCGCAGTATAGGTGACAGAACGTAATTAACGTAAAACGCATCGAGCAAATTGGTGCGGAATGGAAAAAATTAACGGGGTAAAGTGTAATTTTCATCTTCGTAAATGCACGACAGTCTCACCTAATGATCGTATCATCCTCCAAAGATTTAAACTGTTTTCTTCTTTCGGGTCCCACCTTCCTTCTTCTCTGTGTTCTCTCTTGACGGTCGCCGTGGCACTTTGATGTGCCATACCTGTTTGAAGGCTTGGCGGCGAAGTTGGGGCTCATAGGCTTTGCTGTCTTGATCTTGGCCTGTTCCTATTAGAAACTCTCTAGGAATTCGAGCAACACCCAAAGAGACGAAGTAATAGAAGCGAAGCAAAGACGCGCGAGGGAAAAGGGCACAGCAAGGGCTGTGAAGATGTACGAAGAGAAGACAGGGGTGATAATGATTGGCAAGGAGACACTTTCCTTCGCCGCGCCTATGTAACAGAGGCCGTTCTTCTGGCGATTCTCAAGGCGACAATAATGACAATCGTCAGAGCCTTGATGCGAGGGACGAGAAGGAAGACAATTTCAACAAGACCAAGGAGGTCAATAACATTAACAATGACGATGACGGTGAGGATGGCGGTAGTCATGTTGTTCATTGTCATTATTAAAAGGTGAAGAAACGAGCGCTCCAACCTTCGCCTAGCGGGGACGACAAGCTTCTGCCAGAAGCCTCTCCAGTCGACAACCAACCAAAACCAAAGCCAAAGCTTGAGAGGATTGAAATCAAGATCTCACCAATTAGAAAAAAGCATTGTGACATGAAGTGTTTTGGCTATTGTGGAAGTAAAAATGCGCGGCCGATTAGAAAACATTGATTTCTCAAATTTTTTTCTTCCTTCCGCTATCCTTGCATAAAATAACGAGAAAGACCTTGACAAATAAGTTTCACGCCGGGGATGGAGACAGGACAGCTGAGATGTTGGTTCATTCCTCGACATTTTTCAAAAGTCAAAGCGTTGTAACTGAGTTACTGTCATCGAGACGAGAGGAACCACACTATCACTTCAAGATCCCAAACACACAGAGATGAGGCAGCGCATGGGGTTTGTCTTAGTTGATTAATTAAAGGGTTGAGATAACCCTAGAATATAGGTGGCACAGTGTAATTAATGTAAAACGTAGAGAGCAAAACTGAAAAATAACACCACCCGCCTGGGTGGCGCTGCTGGAGCGCGCACTCTTCCTCTCGCAAAAGGTTGAGTGTTCGAATCCCGGGTGCCGCAGGGTGACTTAACCGGTGGCACGCGTGTGGTGGCTAGCACGTGTCGCCCCCAGGGTTTACTCCCCGGCTGTCGGCCGTGCGGGGGTTCCCTGGGTTACCAAAAAAAAAAAAAAAAACTGAAAAATAACGGGGTAAAAATATTGTAATTTTGCCCCCCATGAATGCATGACAGTCCCACCTAATAATGATCGGATCATCCTACAAAGATTAACTGTATAAATACTTATTTTATAATTAGAAAGCATCATTTTCTCAAAAAAAAGAAATTCTTTTTTTGCAAAGCTACCTTGCTTAAAATAACAAGAAAAACTTGACTAATAAATTTCATTCAAACCCACTTTCTTTCGTTCAAGAAAATAACTCTCTCTCATTTTTTTATCGCTCAAAAAAATAATTATTACCATCTTTGTTTAAGATAACTCTCGATCTATTAATATTGGGTTAATATCATAAAAAACTCAAAACTAGTAAATTCGTGACAAATTTACCATAAACTAATTATTTTACCGTAAAAAACCCCAAATTAGTACACTTGTGGCAAATATGCCCCATGCTAATTTTTTTACTACAAAAAATTCCAAGCTAGTATATTTGTGACAAATTTATCTTCCGTCAATTTCCGTTAAATTGGATTAATACCACGAAAAATCACAAATTGGAGTAAAACCTCAAACTGATAAACCTGTCGATTGTCACGTGTCATCCAATTCAGTAATTTTGACAGTAAAATTTAAAGAAAACTAACGGACAGTAAATTTATTACGAATGTACCAATTTGAGATTTTAGATGGTCAAAAAGTTAATTTGAGATGGATTTATTATAAATTTCGAGATTTTGGTGGTATTAGCCCGTTAATATTTTTTTTCCTTTTGCGCATATCCATGCAGTTTCGTCGTCACATGTTGAGCGGGGTCCACCCTAGTCGAGTTGAACGCACGACACGTCGACGCGTGCAACCGGACCTCGGCTTATGATACTGAGATTCGTGTGAAACGTGCAAGAATTATTATATAGTAAATGACGGAGCTAACGGCAATAATTTGCGAAGACATGGAGCGTTTTGAAATGCGCGGGGTCCGTATCATGTCCGCTCTCAAAGCGCAGTTCCTCAGTTTATAGAACGACGTCCCTCTCCATCTCTCCCGTACTTGTCTCCTCCGTGCGAGAAGGGACAGAGCAGCGAGGCTCGTGCACGCATCTCGACCTGCCCCCACTTCTATTTCATCGCCCATCTGGTTCTCACTCTTCCAAGCTTGTAATCGTGCTGAGTTTCGGAGCCGTTCCTGCAAATGGGGCTCGCTCACCTGCTGCTGTTGTCGCTCTCCCTGTTTGTCGCCAGTGGGTCGCGCGCTGTGGAGCTCAAATCCGAGGCCGAGCTCAAGTCCTTGACCCGAGACTTGCTGGAATCGGCCAGGGACCCGGAGTTCTTCCGGTGGATGCGGGACGTCAGGAGGAGGATCCACGAGTACCCGGAGCTCGGGTTCGAAGAGCACCGGACGAGTCAACTCGTTAGGGACGAGCTCGACTCGCTCGGGATCAAGTACAAGTGGCCCGTCGCCAAGACCGGCGTCGTCGCTTTCATGGGGTCCGGAGAGAAGCCGGTGTTCGCTCTCAGAGCCGACATGGATGCTCTGCCGTTGCAGGTGAGCGATTTTTCATGACATAGCCGAGTAAATTTATGGAACACTGGGAATTTGGGATTTTCATGTCGCATTGTTCCGAAGCCCGAGAAGTTTGTCTGTCAGTGTTATGGGTTTTGGGTCATGTTCTTTGGTGTACAGAGGAAAACGAGGCGAAGTGTTTGTTCTTTTGTCAGAGCGAGTGAAAAGCAGGTCAACTGTGGGCAAGTTGTCGAGTAAAAGTAATTAATAGGTGATGTCTGATAGTAGAAACTGGGCCGTTGGTTTCGGGTATATACATGTGGCTAATCTGATTGATTTACCTGTAAGTATCGCAGGTAAGCCTAGAGTAGATGCGGTCTTTGCTGACATTTAGTAATTGGAAGGACGGTGTTTTGAAATGTTATGTGAACGATGAATAAATGCAGGGTTGTTCTTGTATTGACTCCTCGCTGTCTTTATAATATGCGTTGATGATCACATGAAGGAACTGGTGGACTGGGAGCACAAAAGCAAGATTGACGGGAAAATGCATGCCTGCGGCCACGATACCCATGTAGCTATGCTTCTCGGAGCAGCCAAATTGCTCAAAGAGAGGGAAAATCAGATCAAGGTACTTCTCATCTCACCCTTCACTTTCTTAAACTTAAATGCTAAAGCAGTTGGCAATTTTCACCTTCAAGACAATTTATGCATTTTTGTTGTGTCGTGAATTCTTAAGGGAACCGTAAAGCTTGTATTCCAGCCTGGAGAAGAAGGTTACTCTGGTGCTTATTACATGTTGCAAGATGGAGTTCTCGACGACCTTGACGGAATCCTTAGCATCCATGTTTTGCCTAATGTACCGACGGGGTTCATTGCTTCCCGGCCTGGCCCGATACTTGCAGGTGCTGGGGTGTTTTCGGCCACTATTCAGGGGAAAGGCGGGCATGCAGCACTTCCTCATCACAATATAGACCCCATTGTTGCAGCTTCATCTGCAATCCTCGGTCTTCAGCAAATCGTATCTCGAGAGACCGATCCTCTTGAGGCACAGGTAGTTTCCTTCTAGTCCGTTTTATTCATTATCTGAAGCTTCTGGATGTTGGATGGGAATATGGTTATGCATGTGCAAGTGATTGCAATCATACGGGAGTATTGCAACTGCAGCAATTTCATATCATGGCCAAACTTGTCATCCGGAGATACTTTTTTGTTTGTTAACCATGCATTGTACTCTTAGAGTAGGGAAACAGAAGGCCTAAATCTGTCGTGCCCTCTCCTATTTTTCCAGTTACCACAATAAAGTTGTATGAGCATCACAGACTACCACAGAAAGTATCTCTTGTTTGAAGCTATCATTGTAGAATGCTAAACTCCTCTCCATGAAATTTCTTATTTTTTAGTGCCCAAATGTGACAGCTTGTTTCGTATGAACTTCCTTGCAAGATATTTATCTGACTAGTGACTTTTCCAGAGATGCATGCATGTTATGGTCTAGCTTTAGCATCATCTCAAATTTTCGTACTTTAAATGGACAGGTGGTGACAGTCGGGTATATCAAAGGAGGCCATGCCGCTAACGTGATTCCTGAGTCTGTTAAATTTGGAGGAACCTTTAGAAGTTTGAGTTCCAACGGTCTCTTATTCCTTCAGAAGAGGATAAAAGAGGTAATTGATGAATTCGTCAGCCAGTCTTTTATCTTCAAGGTGGTTGTGTTTTAATTCTTACAAATTCTCTGTGTTGTGGTTACAGGTCATAGAAATGCAGGCGGCTGTTCACAGATGTAAAGCTGTGGTGGACTTCGGAGAGGACAAAGTGCCTCTTCACCCTGTAATGGTTAATGACGAGGTCCTATATGAACACACCAAAAGGGTCGGAGAGATCCTGCTCGGTGAAGGCAAAGTGCAGCTTCTGCCAGTGACAATGGGAGCTGAGGACTTCAGCTTCTTCGCTGACAAGACCTCTTCTCTGATTTTCGTGGTGGGGATACAGAACGAGACTCTGAAATCGCATCACGTGCTGCACTCGCCTTACTTCTTCGTCGACGAGGAGGCTTTCCCGATTGGAGCGGCTCTTCATTCAGCTGTTGCAATGTCCTACTTGGAGGAGCACGCGGATGCAGCCAGCGCGTGTCCTAACTATGGTTACCCCTAAGCTCCAACCTGCGTAGGATAGTTTTAAAGGATTCCCTTAAGATCTCTGGTCTATCTTTCTGACCAGAGATTCCTAGATTCGGAAGCTACTCTGCTGGTCTGTTGCCTCGACGAAAGAGACATCTTCATCTCCCGATCGCCAGGAATAAACTGAGATGTATATCGAGCAGCAGTAGAGTATTGCATTCACCAAAATTTGCTTTGACTTGCTTTCACAATCCTACCCGCGATGGTCTTAGAATCCAGCTCGACAGTAATCTTCGACAAACCCTGCTCTTGTGCACATCATGCTTGTGATGTGGCTAAGCTTGAGCAGAAAATAAGCTTACAAGCACGTAATTGTAATCTTCGACAAACCCTGCTCTGGTGCCACGACTCCAAAGTACAATTGCCGAGGCGCAACTAAGAAGATAATGAAGATTATCGAATAAGATTGGCTATTGTAATCCTGATTAGCCCCGCAAAACTGGAGCAACTTTTTCTTAGCAATGGTATTAATTTTTTTGCTAGCAACTTATGGACCAAACATGTAACAATTTGGTCCTGCGAGGGGGGAGTGGTAGCCGGGGCTAGACGGTCCTGGACAAGGAACGGCTCTTGACAGGTTTCGAGGATGGTGAAGATAATAGGAATGAACCGAATCTCACGTCGCTGAGGTAAAGTGTCATATATGTGGTGGCACTTGTCCTAACTTATAATGAGGCCTTTTCTGAGCAAAGCCCAAAAGAACAAAACCGTACGGGCTTCGACCCAAAGAGGACTATCGTTATGAGTGGGCCTTGAGCGTCACAAAACAAACAAATAGTGCAGATGAAAAGCTAACTTCAAAACTTGAACGCCGAGCTCCTGTGAAACAACTGCTGATCTAGCACATTCTTCAACAGTGCCGGTGTGATGAACATTCCCAAGAGACGAGATCTCCTTGATGCTTTCTCATTATTGTCTTTGCTGCAACAACTCCAAAGCTATACACATCACATTTTTCAGTTGAAATTGTAGAATAAGCTAGCTCTGCAAGTGAACAATTTAAAACTTGTACATAATTTTCTCAAGCACACTTAAGTTAACGACATTGCTTCCTCTTCATGTGATGCGTATAGGTAAAAAATTACAAGCAGATACCATTTGATTACACAAACTTAGTATCCTTGAACTAGCCAGATAAAATAATGCCTTTCTTGATCCTAAATGTCATCGAAAAGGAAAAATAAAATTCCTAAAGGACATAAATACCTGGAGCGATGTAACCAATAATGCCGGCTATTGCAGCCCAATTTGATAAATTTGACATCAATAGTCTCGCAATGCCAAAACCGGAAACCCGAGCCTCATAATCGGCATCCAACAAAACATTGTTATTGGTCAAGTCTCGATGAATCCACAAAGGAAAAGAATCGTGATGCATATAGGACAATGCATCCGCCACTCCTTGAACTCTGTTTACCCTTTTTTCTTTCTCATCATCATTTAATATTGTTCTCAAGCTTCCTCTTTCGATGTACTCATACACTTAAAAAAAGAACACTGTGCATGAGAGCAAAACCCATAAAGTTTGACGATGTTGCCATGGCAGATATTTAATAAGGCTTGAATCTCCATCTCGAAAGATACAAAATCGGGGAACTCCTCTTCGGGGGATGAAGAAATTTACTTGACAGCAACAATTTGAACTATCGGTACGTAGTTCAGCTTCATAAAACAATGCCGGATGCTCTTTCTCCCTCATAGAACTTGGAGTTAAATCCTCCTGTGGCCTCCAGGATTTGCTCATAGAAAGCTCTGCCGGAATAACATTTCTGTAAAACCAACAACATTCCCACAGAGTCTCTTGTTATGTTGAATTGACTCAAATGGAGCCTCATAAAAGAAACTTTGACATTTGGGAGATGGCCTCCAAGGTTATTGTAGGACACATCAGCAATAGTTAATGCTAACATATCACCCAAAGTATGCGGGGGACCAAACAAGCTATTGTGAGAGACATTCATGGTTTCTAGGAGGAATTCTTCTCTCAAGTTTATTTTTGGTCAAGGTCAATCTCAACAAGTTTTGTGCATAAAACAAGTTCCACTGGGATTGATCCGCTCAAACTGTTTGATGCCAAGTTGAGATGTTTCAGTTTGGACAAAAGTCCCGCTTATTTCACCTGTGATCCGATTATTGTTCAAGATGAGATACAGCAAAAATCGCGAGCTTGCCAATTCCCTTAGAATCACTCCACTCAAATTGTTCGAAGACAAGTCCAATTCTTGTAACCGAGTCATCCTTCCAAATTGAGGGTATCTCACCAGAAATGTTGTTGTTTAATATTTTTAAGCTCGTCAAATTACGACAATGCTCCCATTTCCATGAAAGCTCACCATAAAAAATAATTGTCGCTCAAGTCTATAAAGTTTAGCCGCGGATAAATTCCAAAAGCATCCTAAATGAGCTTATAGATAAAAATGAGTACGGAGAGGTTCTTAAAATATATGAAGATTTGTTTCTCTTTCAAGTGGCTTTTCTTTTGAAAGCGCTTGATAATCTAATGATCTATATTGTTCCTATACGATAGATGACTTTGCAAATGATGTAAAACCACACATAATCGCGGGTTCCAATGCGCCGGTATGCCGGGAATGAAACGCGCGACGACGAGCAGCTTGAACAAGGTGGATACAACGTGGAATCTTTCGGTTGAGTCAAAACTATCATGTCGTGGTTTCTGGTCGTCTTTGTAGGAAATCGGGAAAAACTTAATTGAAAGAGAAAGTAGATTCATAAGAGAAAAGAAACTAACTACTTAATTCATGGACTAAACCGAGTTCGGAAGAGCATAGTCACACGAATGAATCATGTACCGTTCGAATGGCATTGTTTCAAACTGGTTTTCAAAAGCCTCTTTTTTCTATTTATTTTTTTCGGTTATACATCCGACGCACAACAAGTATTTTAAGAAAAATCTAATCCTCTTCTCTGACCTTTTATGGCGTCTCCAAAATGCTCTAAAATTTCTTTATCCGGTATTTAAGCGTTTCTTTCTACGCTTAAGATATGATTTTTCTTTTATTTAATCTCGCTGGAGATCTCAAAAGCATAATTAAAATATGACTAAAATGCAGATTACTTCATTTTCCATAATTTCATTTTCGAATCCTTTTTAAATCACAACACGCCACATATATCTAAGTTTTCAGCAGTATTACTAGGGTTGAAATTTCATTTAGAATTTTCCATAATAGAACGAAGCGGCGCACGCGCTCAGTTGGCACCACCCGTTCACCCATCTCCCGCCCGGTCGAGCCGCCCCGCCGCCGCCGCATCTCCGTCGATCTCCGCCGCCGCTTCCGTGGCCTTGAGCTCGGCGTAGCACGTCGCTTACGCAGCGAAGCTCCGCCTCTCGAGTCCGTTGCCGTCGATCGTCCTCCTTTCGCGTCCATGCAGGAGGAAGAATCAGTGGAAGTAGGACTGGAGACGATGAACGAAGGGGTTGAAGAAGGAGAAGAAGACGAGGCGGTGGAGGTGGAGGAGGAGGAGGAGGAGGCGTGGTCGTCGGATTCGGAAATCGACAGCGCTTTGGAATGGCTGGACTTGAAAGACGGCGGGAAAGCAGCGGACGGAGCCTTCGCCCCCAATTCGCGGCGTCCGAACGCTCACGGGGGGCTCCACGTGCCCGCCCGGTCGTCCGCGCTTCAGCCCCTGTCCAACCGGAGCCAGAAGCTCTCCACTCATGTCCGCGCTTCGCCTCTGGAGGTCCTGGAATCCTTCTCCATTGTTGCTTGCTCATCCTTTTTTGTCCATTTCGTTTGACGAATTCGCAATGCCCGTGTGTAGTTTGTAAATTGAGAGGCATGCTTGTTCTTATATGTGGCTAAGTTCCTTGGACCAATCTGTAGGCTTGCCCGGGAATGAAATTCGATGTCTCCTTTCTGCTGTCGGAGATTAGGGATTTTCTTGGATGATTAGAACATGCTTGGCTTGATTGAAAAGCCTAAAGCTACTCTCTTTCTTTTCCGCTTTGAATCGGATGTGATAAGAAGGGAGGTTAGAACATCACTTTATGCTTGAATAAATTGGTGGAGAGAAATGCGACCACATCGTTACAACAAGATTAGATTTTGAAGCACTGGGTTAGCATCCTAAATGCTTATAGATTAAAATTATCGAGGAGTTTTTCGAAATATACGATGATTGGTTTCTCTTTTCGGTGGCTGTTCTTTTGGAAGGGCTGGATGATCCGGTGATTAATCTGTACTGATACAGTGTGGCTAGAGCAATATGCTGGTCAGAATGGTTGCTTTCCTAGATTGCACATCTTTTTATCAATTACCTGAGAAGCCAAGACTTCTTGTTGAAGTTCATAAATCCTGCCTTTGTGCGACCAGAGATTATCTATAGGCTTCACTAGCATTTTCTACAAATGATATCTTGAGTGCTGATGCTTGTCGTGTGGCAATGCTTGAAAGATATACCTTGTGTGCACCAGACCAGGTCTACCTGCGGTAGCAGTTAGATAAACGACACTAGTGAATCTCCTTTTCACTGTCTCCCTATTTCAGCTGTCTACACTTTTGAGTTTCACCGACCTACATAATTGTGATAGAACTTAACAAGAATTTTCAATTTTCAAACTTTTTCCACTTTTCACCAAAATAAAAGAATGTTGAGCTACCACTCGCCTGGGTGGCGCTGCTGGAGCGCGCACTCTTCCTCTCGCAAAAGGTTGAGTGTTCGAATCCCGGGTGCCGTAGGGTGACTTAACCGGTGCACGTGTGTGGTGGCTAGCTCGTGTTGCCCCCGGGGTTTACCTCCTGGCTGTCGGCCGTGCGGGGGTTCCCTGGGTCATCAAAAAAAAAAAAAAAGAATGTTGAGCTCATGCTGTCATCAATTTGGTTGGCACACAAAGATAAGCTGTTTTACATTTTTGATAGTTTGGGTCGGAACTTTGACTTGTATAAGCATGTGTTGGATACTATATCTACCACTTCCTTCTGCATCTAAACATGTTTTGGTGGACACTTATATGTTATCTAGCTTCGTAGTGTGTTGCTGAGTATATAACTTGTTGAAAGAATGAATTGTATGAATGAATACTGCAGGAGTGGGAGGGAAGGGTGAATGTTGGCATGTCTAGCACAGTGACAGCTTCAATTCGAGAAAGTGTACGCGATATGGCTATTGGCAAAATTAAAAGTCATGAGAAAGCTGACCGTGCAACTGTCGAGCAGGTAATGTACATTTAGTCAAAGATTGATATGTTGTATACTAAGTATCTGGTAAAATATTTCCATTAAAATTCTCCATGCTGTAGTTGTAACAACAGCCACAATAAGGTCTCTTTATACTAAGTGTAATCTGCTGCTTGGATTATCTCAAGACAATATGTCCCCTGTTAATATGTGTCCATTTCAAGGATCTATTAGGATTTTTGACAATTTCTTCTTTGGCCTCCTTCCTCTTGCTTTGCATCTCTATGCCAGGGTCAAATCATTTCTACTCGGCATGAACCACGAGTGGAATTAATTTTCAGAATTTATCGTTCTTCATGGATATAGGAAAGCAAAATATAATTGCTTTATTTTAATCATCAGAAGTTCTGAAGTTGCAACGAACTCTATTGCAGGCTTTATCCGTCTCTTTGCTAAATCATTATTTCAGTTTGACTTAACCATAGCTGAGTAAACTGTTTGATGGGTGTTTTCATTGTTCATGGCCCCTCTTACAATAATTGTTCAGAAGTAAGACCACTTCCAAAAGTTATTGCGGTTACAGTGCCCAAGCCCCACTCCTAAAAGTTAGTGAAGCTATGGTAGAATCTCTGAAGAATTCTCATGGAATTGTTTATATGGTTGTGCAGGCCATTGATCAGAGGACTCGGATGGTTCTCTTCAAGATGCTGAACCGTCAAGTGTTTAATGATATAAATGGTTGCATTTCCACTGGCAAAGAAGTACGTTATCATCTACGGTCAGCAGTACTCACTTCTTCTTTTTTTTCTACCATTTGATTGTAGGTGGAACTTCTCCAAATCATTGTTATAATTTCACGATTTTACCTGTGATTGGTCATAGTTTTTGCTACTACTGCATAGTCTCTTGACCCTTCTGTCACTCTGACTTTTATAGGCAAATGTCTATCATGCAACAAAATCTGATGGGCAAGAATTGGCAATCAAAGTCTACAAGACTTCAGTTCTGGTGTTCAAGTAAGGGCGATAGTTTTAAGTTGTTTGCAAGGCCCCTGCATGGGTGCTTGAAAGTGCAATACTGCATTTACTACAAGTTTGTGATTATGTTCTTTCTAGAATTGACAATTGATATACATATTCTGTTTGTTGTGATAGCTGTCACTGCTAGATTGTGGAGAATGTTGGCTTATTTTGTCTGGTGGTTACTTTTGTTTTTTTTCTTTTCTTAGGAGCTACTGTAAGCTTTGTCTGCAATACTACAGTGTTGATTTTGTAGGTGTATTTCGTACATTTTTTATCTTTTCTTTTATGTTTCTTAATGATCAAAGGCAAAGGATTGCTTGTATCTCTTATAAGATTTAGTTTATGGTAGGTTTTACTTTTCTTGTCCTTCTATTTGTTATTTTATGATTTTCTTCCATCGGGGCATGAGTCCATGGACACAGCCTCATCAGTGTAAAGGAGTTACAAATCTGAGATCTCAGGATTGCTCTGATGCCAAGAAAATTTCTCAACTATATGCGCTGGTCCAGTTTCTGTTTCTTTCATCTCGCTCTCCTCCAATGGAATGGGCTCTCTTGATTCTTTTTGCCACAGCAGTAAGAACCTTTAATTCTTCTGGATCAAAGCCTAGGTTATCGAGTTATCGAAGTTGAGTTGTTCTTCTGCTGCAAAAAGGTCTTAATATTAGATGCCTCCTCTGAAGTTGATATCATGAAAAGCTACCAATGTTGAAGATAAGAAACTGGAGCAGGTGGGGGCGGTTCTTACTGGCTATGGTGGTCTGACTTCTAAGTCGTGGAGCATTCCAGCCATATAGCTACCTATATTTGAATGCCAGACTGTACTGTCACTTACACCCACAAACATAAACCATTGGAGGAGAGCTGTGCTAATTGACTTCCTTTGAATTCTGCACCTCACCTCCTGGAATTCTCAACTGACCGGTTATCCGCATTTGTTCGCTTGAATTAACTCGTGTCATGCAACTCACTATTGACTCGACTGATTAACACCATGCAATTACTCCTTTTGTTACAGATCATTTGTCTTACCATGATAAACATTTAATTAACTCCTTTGGTCCTATAGCCTCTTCCATAATGAGTCGTCAGAAATTAATGTAAGCGAAAGGAAATGGGAAAAGACAAGCAAAAATGAGTATAGCAAGGGAGTCAGCAGGCTGACTGGTATGGAGGAGAGATTGTGCCAACATTATGAGAGCTGATGGGAATCCGGATCTAATTGTCTCTCTCAGCTAGTCAATAATCGGCATACTTTTAAGCTAATCTGTATGAACTTGGCCTTCTGCCATAGCTAAGATGGCTTTCTAACTTTTATGGGCATTCATTTAATAGATTATATCTGACAAAGTTAATTCGCATGTGAGTTTGGTCTGCTGCTGCTAATTTTATAATAAACTGCTCTATTGTGAATTCATGAAGGGATCGAGATCGGTATGTTCAAGGGGATTTTCGGTTCAGACATGCGTATGGCAAGCATAATCCGAGGAAAATGGTAAAAACATGGGCTGAAAAGGAAATGAGGAATCTTATGAGGTGAGTGCTGTTCTTTTACAGTTGAACAATTTCATCTTCTGTTATTTTTTAGCAAAAATTGATGAACAAGATGATGCCATCATTTGAATAATGTAGTACTTGTAATTCTTTTGCCTTGCATAATACTTGTTTTACAAATTGGTTCTCAGACATGTAAGAAGAAATTTGATTTGGCAGGCTGTTTAGGTGTTGTTTTTCTTAAAAGAGTTGATTCGAGCATCAGTCATGTTTGATATATGACGACTTTGGTAACACATGCAGGCTGAAGGCAGCTGGAATTAGATGTCCAACTCCTCATCTTTTGAAACTTCATGTTCTTGTCATGGATTTCATAGGTATTCTTTCTGGATCTGTATCCATGATTTTGTGCATATCCTTTTTCACTTCCAAAAGTGGCAATTGGAATTTATGTGTAGATGACTCAAGAACTGCAGGACTCATCATCTTCTTGTTTTAAAGTTTTGCTCTTAGTAATGCTCATGGATTCAGTTTGAGCATTTGCAGATGGCTGGTTGTTCCTACAACTTATCGTCATAAGCTAAGACTATAGTGATGTCTTCGATGTCTTCAGGAGCATATTTCGAAAACTACTAACATGGATCGTCATAGGTTGAGAAGCATTTTGGGCCTAGTATTCATAGAAATGAGCATTATCACCTTCTATAAGAATCTCCTTAAACATGTGGCTTTTTTCTTACCAATAAAGCAGAGTGGACTTTACCCCCAAAAAAAAAAAAAAGAAGAGCAAAATTTAGATTCCCCTCTTTAATAATTTGATGATTTTGTACCCACTTTATTCGAGCTTATAAGCATTCTACTGAGTACCAATGATAGTATCTGGGAAGCTCATGAACATATGGTGGATGCCTCTGTTCTAGTCAATGGATTTTCAGTCTTTTCAAGTTACAATACAGTTTTCCTCTTTTCATTTTTGCTTTCAGGTTTATTTATTGTTTTATTTCCTCATTGTAGGCAAGGCAGGTTGGGCTGCACCTCGTCTTAAAGATGCTGCTTTGTCTCTGGACAAGTTGCGTGAATGTTATCGGGAGGTTTGTCAGAATTAATGTTGCGCTATACAATGATTTGGTAACTATGGGTCATCTCACTGTAAACTGTGATGGTTAATGTGAAGTAGATGCACTGTGAGCAACTGAGAGACGCCATTTCATGTTCTGTGAGAGATTGTGCGGTTTCCTTTTCTTATACTTTCTCTCTTTTTTTGTTCTTTTGAGAAGAGAAAAAGGGGGGTGGGTGGATGTGGAAGAGGGTAGTTGGCGTCTTTTACTTATTGGGATATATGATTAATGACCTTATCACTTGCAAAAACCTAGGTCCTTACTTCTACTTTGAGGCTTCATTTTAAAGGAATTTATGTTGCATTTTGCTGGAGGCTTGTTAACTATAACTGACATAAGTTTTCTTTTGTCAGCTGATTATTGCTATGAGAACATTATATCAGAATTGCAAACTTGTGCATGGAGATCTGAGTGAATATAACATACTTTATTTCGAGGTCAGCATACCTTTCTATTCTTTGCTTACTGTTTTGACACAGTCATGTAACTTAAGAATGCGGTAGGTGCCGGAAAACTTACTGGATTTCCCATCTATTTGGCAGGAGCACCTTTACATCATTGATGTCTCTCAAGCTGTTGATCTTGATCATCCTCATGCTCTTGATTTCCTGCGAGAAGACTGCCTTCATGTTTCTGTAAGATTTTTCCTACTGAACAAATAGTTTTCTTGTTTGTAAGGGTATTTTTTATTTCTTCCGTTTGGAGACATGGGTTAATGAGTTGGTAATATACAGGACTTCTTCAAGAAACATGGCGTTGGTGTAATGACAATCCGGGAACTCTTTGATTTTATTGTTGATGCATCCATAACTGATGATTCAGTGGATTGTTATTTGGAAGAGGTTTTTTCTTTATGATCTTAATTTCACAATCTTATGCCGGCATTATCTTTAAAACTCGAGTCTGGTCTTTCATTTAACACTTTGATTCCATTACAGATTCAGCAAAGAATTTCGGCGAGAGGAAATGTGTTATCACCAGAAGATGAAATTGCGGACTCTGTTTTTATACAGGTTATTGGACATCGGCATTTTCTCAACTATTGCATTATGCTTAACTCCTTAATTGTCAATTATATGACGAGATAGTTGTCAATATACACATGTGGGCTCATCAATTCTGATGCTGGTGCGCTGGTCAGAAAGCATGTAAAGTTCATGTTCCGGGCTATTTATCTGTGATTTTACTTTTAGATATGGTCTTTTAAGGGATGAAAAAAGAAGTAGGAAATTCCGACATTTACATACCTGGTGCAAAGTAGAAAAAGGGTGTTTTCTCACCGTTGTGCACGTGCAGTGCTACTAGCACATGGTAGTTTAACTGATAGAATTGTGACTAGAGTTGATACTCCATCTGAACTGGTTATGAGAGTGAACTATGACTCTTAGCTCTTTAAGGTCTATATGTATAACAGTAGGTGTCTGGTGCTATATTCACGCAAAACTCCCATAGATGTGGAACTATCATACTCATCTGAATGTGGGCCAGCGTTAACATGGAGAATATTCCTTGGAGAAGTCTCACTGGAATAAAGAAATAACTGTAAGGAAAAATTTTCTGTCTCCTTAGTTATTCCATATGCCTTAACCTTCGTTTTGGATTGAAAAGATAGTCAGGGTAAACAAGCTCCTTGCTTCTGTCAATGTCACTCCATGAATTTTAGGCAATAAATGAATATCAGTATAACATCTTGCAGAGCTTTTGATGCAGGATGTAACTGTACTGAGGGTATGAATGTTCAACAGGCTATGTAGTGAACTGTATACCGTGATGTTTTCCTGTCAAACAAAATAATATATAGCCCCGGGACCAAATTTGCAAGGCACCTAGGAATTACTAGATCAAGTGGAAGCCACATGTGACCACTTGATGTTTGTAGGTTGCTGGTGCACTTGCTTCTTGGTGCACCCAAATTTTACTTCTCATGTGAGGCTTTTTCTTATGGAAACCCTATGCATATATTTATGATGCCGAGAAAATGCTTCACGCAGTTGTGGTCGCAGGGAGATGTTATATGCGGTCTACAGGGAGTAGCAATCTAAATTTGCATTGTTCATTAGATGAGGTGACACTGCAGGTTTGCTGTTATTTATACTAGAGCATCAGTTAATAACAGTTTATTTTCTTTCAGTCATATATACCGAAGACACTAGATTCGGTGACAAATGTGGAAGAGGATGTGATTCGGATAACAAGTGGGAAGGACACTGGAGACATGTACTACAAGACTATTACGGGTTTACATCAGTCTCTCGCGAAGGAGGAAGCTAATGCTATAGAAAAGCCGACCGATCCTGGCAATAATACAAAAGCATGCGGTAGCGAGTCCACGTCCGATACAGATGAAGATTCGGAAGGAAATGAGTCGGCTTCCGAAACTGAGGTGCAGACTCCTGTTGACAAGAAGGCTGCTAGGAAGGAGAACAAAAAGAAGGTCAAAGAGGAAAAAAGGGAAGGGAGGAAAAAAAAAGTCCCCAAGGCTGTGAAGAAAAGAAGGGAGAAGTTGGCCAAAGCCCACAAGACTAGGTAGTCGTTTCAAGCATGTTATTGCTGTGCGTGTTTTTCGGCATTTGTCAATCGAGAGAGAGAGAGAGTGAGTCACTTATAGGATAAGTTTAATTTACCAGATGTGGAGATGACTTTGCAATTTTCAGCAGTAGCCCAGTTTTAGCTTTGAGGGCAAAGCGAGAGGGGATAATTTTATGCTGTCTTGTATTGTGTCAGGCTATTGTTACAAGACGATGCCGGTATAGGCTTCCAAGCTAAATTGTATAGCAGTTTATTTTTTTGCTAGTTATTTTGAGGAAGGAGGTCTTGGTAGGAGTTTCTGTTTTTTTTTTTTTTTGGGTCGGAGTCTCGGTAGCAGTTGGCTATGACCTAATCGAATCCCAGTTCCGATCCACTATCGTTAGTTAGATACCTTCTGTAATCTTATTGATTTATTTTCACATACCTTTGGGGGTGAGAGAATGAATAGATTTTATCTGTTTGATTGAGAATGCTTGGTTGGCTTGGTTTGGAATTGCCATCATGAGATTAATGGCCCATTGCTTGGCTGAGACTTGCTGTGCAATCACAAGGCTTGCCAAACCAAGAGCTCGGTCAGCAGTATTTGGGGACTCGGCTTGCAATCACATTGGCTGTGGCAACTGGTAGTGGTTGGGGCCTGTGTTCACCGATGGTTGGTTGACAGTCGTGGGAAGCCGGTGGCGGGGCGACTGCAATGGTTGCTAGCTATGCAATGGCGACTGTTGCGATGGTTATAAGCAATGGTCCCATCGTCTGTGGAGGGAGTATTACATCTAAGTTGTAATGGATAAGGAGTAGTTACTACGCAAGCCACCGGAGAAAGTCCATTGTCCCTCGAGGAGCTCTTCTCGCAGCAATGAATCTCGCCATTTTTTGTGAATTTTCGAAGTGTTTGTTTGCGACGCGTTATGACTCCCGAGTGGGTGTAGGTAACCCTTAGGTGACTATGTATAACTATTACGACTGTGGTTGTTATTGCAATTGTAGTCATAATAGCCGTAAGTCCGATCAATGTTGTACGTTATAGATAACCAATACACTCAATATGTGATAATCATTACTTGAAGTATATACAATGGGTGTCTAATCCGTTCAATTCCCCTACATATTCGTGTCAATGTATTTATGATCAATTTAAAGTCGTAAGCAAGCAAATTTTGATATGGAGCACGACAAGCGCGAATGTTTCCTGGCGTCTGGCGATTAGCTCCCTTGTTCATCTTCTTCCTCTTGAACGCGACTCCGACCCTCTGCAGCACTGCCCTCCTTTGATGACAATGCGACGACGACGACGACTACAACAAGGCGGTGGTGTTAGGAGCTTAGGTGGGTGATTAACGTTGGCATCCGCGACCGAGTCCCTTTCAGGCGTGCCTTAGAACATAAGCTTTGGCGCGTTTCGGTGACGTTACAACTCGGCAAAGCGAGGCGGCGAGTCTCGGCATCCGTCGGTGTGACGTTATCAATTGACGTGATGCACTAATAATCAAATCACTTGCTTCCTCTAATTGAAGCCACCGTGCACAGCTTGTTGAAAGTCAATATCTTGATTAGTTTCTTTGCAAGAATTAAAATTCATAGTATCCATAGCTGTACTTTCTTTTGCCTTTTCTTATTTTTGGTTCTCTACTTTAACGAGTATTTAGAGCTATGCAAAGCTATAAGTAATTCCTTGTAATAACATTACTTAAAGAAGGCCTTAATTAAATTACTAATCGATGGCGCGCTTGTTGCCCTCAGAAAATTAATCGTCTTCGGGCGATCATTCTTAAAAGTAGATAAGAAATTTACACTTATTTTCTCTTTTGAAAGAGGATAGATAGATTCCGAGAAACTTGCAAAATAATTATAAATCCATATTTATATTTTTTTTCCATTAAAGAGAATATAAGGGTCTTGTTCTTTTTATGTTATCCAGTGTTTTAAGCCAACTTGTCGAGCATCTATAATAAGAAGTGTTTTAATCCTTAAAAGCACTGATTACAGCCTATTATGAGAAAAGTCGATATATTTACCATTTCATCTTGGCATTTAACATTAAAATCATGTGAATGTAAATGATATTAACACGTTGCGGTTTGAATGTGAATATAAATTTCTCAGAAAAGTCCATGATTTAAAAGAAAAATTTTCACGCATGTTAGTAAGGGTCACGCTATCACCAACTTATCTGTTAATCCTTTATCTTTTAATACATTAATCACAATATTGCCCCACAAAAAAAATTTATGAGCACATAATCCGTTGAAATTATGAATGAATGTATTTTTGAAAATTTTGAATAACCTTTTTATGGGAAATAAATCTGAAACTCTCTAGCTGCATTTGATCGTCCGGATTTGGATTGGGATAGGACAGGATAAAGCAGGAAATCCTCTCAATATCCACTGGATTGTAAAAAAATTTATCATATGTTTGGTGTAACCTGAATTGAATTTTTAAAAATCTTTCAAAATCCTCCAAATATCTCTCTTGGATCATCCTCGTACCTCCTCCAATCTTTACGCCTTCACTGTTTCGCTAACGACCGGAGGAAGCTCCTCTCTCCCAAGACATGACGTTGTTGTAGTCTCGCGTTCTTATCCCCGGTAACACTCATACACATGGTGGTGACCCCTCAGAATTGTCATGCCCCGAGACAAGGCCGTGGCACTTGATCCAGGCTTGGCCGTGATTCACGTGGGTTCCGGGGATTTGTCTCAATGTCTCGTTATTGTTTTCTTGATTAAGCAAAAGCGGAATCATATACCAAACAATAACGAGAACACCAAGTGAGCCAAGCGACATGTTAAACAAACACACTATATTTACATGATAATGGATTATTTATTTTATAAGTCCTTTTTACTTCGGGCCTATTTTGTTTACTAGATTACACCCGGATCACGTCCGGTGCTATCCGCTCACATACTCCGTATGGCTGGGTTAAGCTTAACTTCACTAACGTTCCTTGACAAAAAGAACAAAAGGTTAGTCTCCTTCCCAAGCTTGGTCATTACATTATGGTTCATCCACTTCGGCCCCGGGTGGTCTACCATACCCCTCAATGGGTCCGATCACATCTCCATCCATCAAAACGAATCATGCTAAGTAACGGTAGGGGACCATCTCATTCGCATTTACTTGAACCCAAACGGTCGTGCTATATTTCGATATGTGACACCGGCCTCTACGTCGACGATATCTACAACCCGCACATGCATTTCTATGGGATGACCAAAACGTACGGGAGATGGCGTGGCCATACCTACAAAGCTGAAAATAAATAAAAATGAGTCGACACTTAGTAAGTTAAATTCACTATGCTCCGGCTAGGAAATAGCCTCGCATAGGACAAGAGAAATACACGTTACCGTTGGCTTATTGATGGCAGATCAATATCAAATGCATATTTCCTTGCCTTTGTATTAAACATAGCATGTTCAACAAGCAAGAAAACATCAAGTATGGTTTTCAAAATTGCATGCAAAGATCAACACACGGAATTCATCATTTCATGATCGAAATCCATCGATCCTTCCGGCTTACCACCGAGCATCCGAGTACTCCCTTGGGCATCACCTCGAAATCCATTGAATAGCGGCATCGTCTCGAAATCCATCGAAGACGGCATCGCCCCGAAATCTATCGGCGGCGGCAACGTCCCAAAATCCATCAGTGACGGCCATAGTCCCTCGTGTGATCATGCAACAAGCAACACACATTTCCGGTTCTTATCTTGATCTTATTAACCTGTGCAAACACGCGGTGCTTGTGTAATTCATGCTCTCTAGGACAATTTGTCTAACATGCAGGGCGCGGTTGAAGGCATGTGACTCGGTCCACCATGCCGAGTGCCGACTCGAATCCGGACTTAGCCCGGTTCTACACGCCTCAATGTAAAACCCGCACCAAGCCGAGCTCATCCCGAAACACCATAACATAAGTGCGAGATCATATGACACCCCGTTTCGTGCCTCGGTTGTGCCATGACTCACGGCCACATGCAAAACAACAAGACATGTGCAAACTCTATGAATCACAAACATAGTCGCTTCTCGAGTCCAAACGCGCAACACCACGCCCTAACCAAAGTATAGGGAATTCACTTACAACTCGGGACTCTAGGGTATTTGGTGATGGTGTGGCGGTGAGAATGAGTGACTGGAGAAGAAATGGCCAAGAATGAGAGAGGTGGAGGCTGAGGGAGTGAGAGGTCGAGAGAGTAGGGAGAGACAGAGAGAGGCTTGCTCGGTTTTGGGGAAAAGAAGAGTATGACTTGGTGTCTCTCTATTTATAGGCCAAGACTTCAATAATTGCCATGCCAAATGATCCAATGAAATTCATTTAAGTGACACTTAATAATGAGAGGCAATCTTGGGAAATCTTAGGGATATTTTGACCAAATCCTAGGCCTAATTATTTGATGGCCCAATCAACTACCAAGTGTCCATCTAGGATCATGATGCCCTATCTTAGGGTATATGAGTCACCATATGCATTAAATTTCTAGAGGACACTTAAGCCTATACATTAATGATCTAGAGGACACATAAGCCTCTATTATTGGTCTCTTCATTAATTGCCCTTGTCTTGGCTCTCATTATTGCCCTACATCTAGAGATTTTAAGATCACATTCATTAATGAAGATCTTATCTTATAAGATTCTTCTAATGGTGGCCCTCCAATTATTGATTCAAACCTTGGCTTAGTCAACTTTCGCTTCTTGCTCGAAATATGCATGTTCTTGTCCTTCTAGAACATCTAATTGATCGCTAAAGATAATCGGCTTATAATCCTCTAAAATCAATAAGTATACTTAGCAAAATGCCTAAGTAAATGGGGAAATTCCGAGTTTAAAACGATCGATCATCCTGCCCGGGTCGAGGTTCGGTGTAAATATTCCTCCAAATATGACCTAACATAATCAAACCAAAGCCCAAGTTCAATGGTGTAAGCTTGGGCCGGTTGGGTTACTCAAGCACATGGCCTGTACAATCGGGCCTGACCGAGCGCAGGGCCGGGCACACTGCAGGGCCACACGGGCACATGGCCGAGTGCACGGGCGTGGTACCGGGCTGCACGAGCGGTGCGCCGAGCACAATGCCGAGCCACACGAGCAAAGGGCCGGTTCATGAACCGAACACATGCATTAGCTCATGAATGGGCACAATACATGGCTCATAGCCAAGTTCATTGGGCATGGAACTAGGTCAGAGCCGGATCTGATGGGCACATTGCTTGGCACAAGGGTCAGGCACAATGACTAGCACACAGCTGGGCACGTAGTCGGTCCGTGGCCTAGCTGACGAGTACAATGGCCAGTCATGTCCGGGCACAAAGCCTGGCGGGCGCGGCTGGCACAATGCCTAGCCACAACCAAGCCATTAGGCTCATGGCCTGGCACGTGACTCGTCCATGGCCTACCCGACTCAACGCGACGATCCGTGGCCGATTCACGACCAATCCACGTTCGAGTGTCAATGACCC